TATAAATTAAAAACTAAATAATTTAAATATTTTTTATAAATTTGTAAATTAATAAGAAAAAATATTGAATTAAAATATAATAAATTTATTTTTAAATCTTAATATTATAGTATATAAAATCCTAAAAGTATAGTTTAAAATAATAGTTATTAGATTTAATATTATTAATATGCTTTTTAATTTATTTTAAAAAATATAATATATCAGAAGTGATGATAAAACCTATAACAACAAAAATTAAAATAAGTACTTATATAATATTATTCTATTAATTAGTTAGAATAAGATATTTGTAACTATGATCATACTAATATAATTAGCAGATTATAGAACATCTGTATAATTGATTATGCAAAAAAATACAAACTAGTAATAAGTAATATAAATTTAAAATAAGTTCTTGTAATTATATAAATCTATAAAACTAAAAAACTAAAACCCACTTAAGAAGATCTAAATAAAAAAATAATACAGATCTTTAATACTATTACTATAAAACTAAATCTAAAAAACAAATATCAATATAAAAAAATCAAATAAACAAGAATCTTAAATAAGAAATATTACTAACTAAATTATCAAAAGTCTCAAACTAAAGAAAAAGAATATCAGATATCATAATTCTGATATACTAGAAATAAGTTATAATCTTTTTAAGTTATCTAGACTAAAAATCTAATAACAAGAACAAAAATATATTATACATACTAAAGATATACTATAAAGTAAATACTAAGATCTGAATAAACTTTACAAAGACAAATCTTGTTAACAAGAACTAAATATAAATAATTAATTAGCAAAAAAACTCTCTAAAACTCTACAATCAACTAACATATTTGAAATATGTAACAACTTAACAAACATATAAACAAAAAAATCAGAATTAAATTAAATAACACTTAAATATATAAGAACTTATGCATTATCTATCAAATGTAATATAAAAATCAAAATGTTAATTAGGTAATATTCTAACAAATTACAAGTATAACAACTAGTGTAAAACCTGCAAGCAAACTACTTAAATAAATAGTCAAAAGCTGTATATATGACTAGTTGTATACTCACCTTGTACAAGTTATGTAACTATAATTAAATCACAATAAAAGCAGTTGCTGCTGATAACCAATGACCTTAGCGAAAATAAAATAAAAAATTATTTAAAAAAAACAAATATGTTTAAATTCTAAACTAACAACTACTCAAAATTGAGAACTTTGAAAATAAATGTTTCAGCAATTTTGAAACTTTAAATCTCGATCATATTTAACATATTAAATGTCCAATGTGAACTGATGTTTACCTGCTTTTAGAAAACGAAATCATTTTTATAGAAGTTGAAATTTCCATTAACATCACCTTGGAAAAGAAGAAAAATGAAACATACATATAAAAACAGGCCAATTTCATTGGTCGAGTAAATAAAGTAGCTGGCGAAAGTTATTCGGCATTTTGATTGGTTGTTCATTTTTCGAGAAAACTTCAAACGGCCTTTGTAGCCAATTTGTACAAGTATTTCCCATTCGGTCAATGAGACATATATCTACTTAGTTGTAAAGCATATATAAATTTGAAATAAAAATAACATGATAAAGATAAAGGTGGGAACCTAATCCCTAAACTACAAGTTTAGGTTAGAGGAATAAACTCTAAACTATATCCTAAACTCTAACCTAAACTCTAACCTAAACTTGTAGTTTCGGGTAAAGATATTTACATCTTGGTTTATCCATGATTGCCAAATTACGTTGGTTTATGGGCCAGAATTATTTTAATGCTGACTGAAATAAGCTGTTAACATAAGAGTTTTCAAATTTACTACGTACTTATACGTACTTTAAATTTCTATATTTGGGGACCCCCCCCCCCCCACAGCAGTGGGCAAAAAAAAAACTTTAATTTTTTCGAAAATTTTTTGCATTTATGTGGCTTAAAAATTTATCGGTTTTTTTTTTATAAATTTTACCATGAACCAACCACTTTCTGTGTAACATATTCCTGACTGATATCGCTATCGATATTAGATTTTTGTATAAAATCTTATCCGATTGGTTAACATTTGGCGCTAATACTGTGATTTAGTTTAAAAAAAGTATAATTGTGTTACACCAGCGTTAAAACTCGTAGATTTACTGTGCTATTTATATAATTCATTTAGCCATTATAAATTGTTTTTTTTTCTTATCTGTAAGCTATACAATATTCGTCCTTGTCTTAGAAGATAGAAACTATCCCACTTTACTAACTTGTTTTCTCATATAAAGATAAATATAATGGCGACGAGAGTGTATATTGGCCGTCTTGCTAGAGACGCCCGTGAACGAGACGTCGAAAAACTTTTTCGTAATTACGGCACCATCAGAGAAATAAAACTGATGAATGGTTTTGGCTTCGTTGAATTTAGAGACCACCGCGATGCTGATGATGTCGTCTATACCTTTAACGGCAAAAGCTTTATGGGAGAGAAGTAAGTGCAAATTTTAAATGAAATTTTAATTGTTCCTCATTCGGAAAAGTTGACGGCTATTAAACAGTACAGTCACAAGCTTTCTGACAAATAGCCCAAATTTCGTTCGGAGAATTTTATTAATGCTATTTTATTTTAAATTGCCATGAATTTTTGATTTGCAATGTAGATTGATTGTTGAATATGCTAGAGGAGAACGTAGGCGCCGTGATCGTGATGACCGTAGAGACAGAGACAGAGATGATCGCCGAGACAGAGACAGAGATAGAGATGATCGTCGCAGAGACGACCGGGACCGCGACCGTGGCAGGTACATCACAAATATTTGAGAAAGTTTGATTGTCCATAAACTTTGTCTTTAACAACTCAAGTAAATTCTATGATTCATTTCAATAGCCGTTTCGCACCTCCTCAACGAAATCCTCAATACCGTTTGATTGTGGAGAATTTGTCATCAAGTTGTAGCTGGCAGGTACGCACTTTTGTTCCAAAAATCTATATATTTGCCGCCTGCAGCTTAAGCTACTTGGCTGGCCTATTGGTACCACTCTTTATTGCCCCGGTTTTCTACAAGATTGATATTGTATTGGCTTTGGTTGTAGCTCTCCTTTTCCTATGGTTGCTTGATGTGGCCTTTGGATTCTGTCTACCATTTCGTTTAATGGCTACTCTTTTGAAAATCTGTTTGGATTATATATTTCTATACATTCCTCAAAAGTCTCAAATGGTACCAAAGCTTTTCGAAAAAACTACATGGGAAAAAAGGACAGAAAACAAAGGGAGTAAATCTGGAAACCGACCACCATTGACTTCCATGATTTGCTATACCCATCGAACTCATCTTTCGGCTTTAGAAATGAGCTAGACTAGACTGCATTTTTTGTTTCTTATGCCTGGAAGGAAGAGAGTAGAGGAGCCCATCTTAGTATCTTTTGATTGCCTCTCGTTCGCTTTCTTTTGGGCCTGTTATTTGGATTACCATGTGTACTTCTTTTCTTGGGATCTACCGGCTCTTGTTCCTTCCATTGGCATTGGTACTTGGCATATGGAAATTACACAAGAGCCCATGAGGATAGTTGAAGCATATCGTCCGTTTACCATAACTCAATCAAAACCTCCTTCCCCTACTCCTCTACCATTCTAAAAAAAAAGGATTTGAAGGACCTAATGCGAAAAGCTGGAGAAGTAACATTTGCCGACTGTCATAAAGACCGCGATGGGGAAGGGTAAATTTTCATATAATTATTATTTTATAACCTTATAATTGACTTGTCATAGATATCTAAAAATTCTCAATTTTGTTACATTTTTTCATTCATTGCGTTAGTGTGGTTGAGTTTTCCTCATACGAAGATATGAAAAATGCTATTAGAAAGCTTGACGATACTGAATTGAAGGGCAAACATATTATTCTTCGAGAAGCACCGGTAAATATAAATTTTAAAGTTATTTAAAACTTAAATTTCGATAAAACTAATTATTCTATTCAATGTAGGATAACGACACTGATCGTGAACGTGACCGTGATCGTCGTCGTCGTTCAAGATCTCGTTCCAGATCTCCCCGTCGTAGTTCTCGCCGATCTCCTTCACGCTCTCCACGTCGAAGTTCCCGCCGTTCTCGTTCAAGGTCCAAGACCCCACCTCCTAATGGAAAAGATCATAGCTCTCGCTCTCCTTCGCCTCGCCGTGGACGTGAGGATTCTCGCAGTCCTAAAAGAAGCCGATCCAGAAGTGGTGAACGAGAGCGTGTCCACGATGATGACAAGTAAATCTTTTTGACATTTTCTTGTGGATTCTTAAGTAAAATAGTTAATGTTTATATATATATATTTTTTTACATCTAATTTGTAGGGATATGAAAGACGATTGAACGTAATCTTTTGAAGTATATTCGTGTAACTAAACAATGTTGCGTTCTAATATACTTATATTCTTCATGTATCAAATGATCAATTAAGTTTCTTATTTTTAACATCGTATTTTGCTTTATTCGTCTGTCAGTCTTTGTTGCTTTGCTTTATTCCACTTCCTAGGTTCTTTCCTTTACAGTGAAAGTCTGGTTATCATCATTCGAAATGGCAACTATTAAGCCCTTTCTCAATGCTAAAATTTATATATCTGATAGATTCCACAAAAGTTTCTTATTTGTATTTTCTTATTTCTGATGATATGAATATGTTATAAATAATACTTATACCTTTATTAATATGGTATTACAAGTGTTGTTTGGTATTTGCTCTACGTACAAGTTTTGTTCAGTGGTGGAAAATTCGACTTACAACACTATATGTGCTTTCCGAAATGATTTAAGTGGTCAATTTGCAGTTGAAGGGTACAAATTTTATAGTAAAAATTGACGTGAATCAAATCCGGGGTCTGAATAGGGCCGGAATTTCCCAAAATTTTACAACAGCATAATTCTCTGATCACGTGAAATGATGAGATTAGGTGTAATGCAAAAATCAAGCAATAATAATTAAAAGTGAATTTTTAGAAAACAGTCTTTTTAACTAACTTGGTACTTTTAATTATGTAGAAAATTATATTTAATTATAAGTTAATTTACTTTTGATATTAAGAGTTAAATGTAAGCATTCTAAAGCTACTATTTAATACTAAACGTATATAACTAAAAACTAGGTTAAAAGAAACTATATATTGTAAGTTCAAAGTCTAATTTATTATAATAATTAGTTAATTATATATAATTACAGAAATGTACAAACTCAGTTAAGAATTAATAAGTTGTTGCAATATTTATCTATATAGTTATAAATTTTATAAAATTTTGCAACAGAATAAAATTATTTAAACTTTTAACTATTCTCAATGACAATTATTGTAAAGCACATATGGTGCTTTTTTTTTATTAAATGCTACTTATAGCAATATTAATTATATATTAAAATAATTCTAAATTAAATATTTATATATTTTTTTATAAATAAGCTTTATAAAGCATTTGTCATAAATTAGTATGATCTTTTTAGAAATTTTATTCTTTGCAATTATGGAAAGTATTAAATCTGAGTGTTACATATTACCCTATTTGTAGACTGCATAATGGCATCAAATTTTATATATAACATGTGTATATAGTTATAAAATAGTTCTATATGTCTTTGTTTTTTCTATAATGTTTTTTATAAATATTTTTCTATCATATTAGATATAGTTTTTATTTGATTTATTTGTAGAAATTTGTATGCTTTTGTTCAAATCAGTTTGCTAATTCTGCATTTTGTGACAAAATATTCTATTATTTGTATTTGTTTTGAACACCATGAGCATTCTTCTGAATCTGTTAATACAAAGTGTTAAGTCTATATTCTAATAATAGAACTTTGTAAAATAATTATTAAAATATATCTTTTTTTTTTTTATTATTGTTTTTTGAAAAATTCAGTTTTGGTCTTGCAATTACTATTTTAAAGTCAAGTTTTTTTAAAGTTCTACTATAGATTTGACTAATATATCAGTAGTTTTTTTTTGTCTATTTTCAGTTTTGTTAAACTTTAAAGTCAGTTAAATTCTGATAATATTTTTTATTTATTTTTTTTCAAGCCAAAAGATAGGGTTTTCATTTTGTAAACCAAGTTTTGAATCTAATAGGTTGTATAAAAAGCATTTCTTGTACTAAGATATTTTTTTTTAAATAAGCAAAAAAGAGATTCTATTTCTTTTTACTTTTGCTTATAAGAGATTACTTAAAATTAGTTTAGTTCAAACTAATAGTAGTTTAGTTTCTAGTAGGTTGTTAACTATTAGTGTTTATAAATTATTTTGTTTATAAAATTGTTGAAAAATAAAATATTTTGGTAATATTATAGTATTGTTTTTAACTCAAAATATGATAAGTTTATTGATTTTTATAACTTGTTCATTATTTGGTAATGTTAGATATATCTTTAACAAAAATAGAAAATTTGTAAATATAATTATTTTTTTAAGTAACAAGTTTTTGTATATAAGTCTTTCCAAACTTAGCTTAAGCTTGTTTATAACTTTTTGCTATAGACTTTTTTTTGGTATACAATTGGCTATAATGTTATAGTCTAATATTATAATATTATCTTATTTTTAAAATTTTTTAAAGTAGGTTTTTCTAGAAGTTTTATATTTTTAATTATATTTGTAAGAAACATTAAATTTGGTTTAAGTTTATTAATTTTTGTATTGAAGACTTTTTTTTTATATTTGCTAAACAAGTCTAAGACTGTTGTTTAATTTAAGTATAAGCTAATTTCAATTATAAAGTTATTTGCATATACTATATATTTAAAAGACTAATTGGCAATTTTGATTTTTTTTTTTTTTTTTTTAAATATTAAGGTGAGTACTTGCAACTCAGGATTTTATTGATAGTACATTCAGCTAATG